TTTACATTTAAACCCAAGGGATGAAACACACGCGTCTTAGTTGATAAACTGTTATATGTATATAAAGTAAGAAGTTGGCTGTTTATCAATCTGGTATATAATACCTTTGAGTACAAACTGTGCATGATAAAAGACAGCAAGGAAGTGCTACTTTGCATTTCAATATTGTTTAAATACAAAGGATGTACACAAGGTGTCATTAAGCAGTTGACCTATTCACAGTGCCTTGTGTCTAAGTGAAACCAATCGATCCTTGGGAGTATTCGTTTTGCATGTATAGTCGTTGTTTAGCATCTTAACTTGTCTATCTATTTTTCTGTGTATCTAGCTTAATAAAATTATATTTAAGCCTAATCTACCAAATCAAAACCAGAAGTGCTGGCGAAGTGTTGTTTATAGATCAATAGTTTGTGTAATATTACATCACAATAAGTCTGATAATATTTGTTTAGAGGTCTTTCTTTTCTAGCCCTTGTACGTTCAAAATTCCATTACATTTTTTCCTACTGGAAAACTGAATGAGTCTAGTTAATTATCGTCAGCCTTAATGTGGTGTAACATCACACACACTATATGATGTATACATCGTTAGACGATAACCACGACACAGACATATAAAGGAAAATACTTTATGACGCCTTTCTTTCTGCAATTTGGTTCAAACGAACTGAGCTACTTGACACTGTACTTTAAAGATGTGAAATATAATTCCTTCAAAATTAATGAAATATTTAATATTTAATCTTCACAGCTCAAGACTTTACGAAGACAGATGCCTTGCATTCATAGCAATGAGGAGTGGCTTATGGATCGTATCCCATCCATTAAAATCGGCACTGAAAGAGCAGGTTTGCAGTACTCAACCTTCATTAAAGTCCCGGATTTAGAGCCACATGTGGAAAAGTTTCACAAAATCGTTCAAAGTTCAACGGAAAAAGAAATTGGTTAGTATGTTTTCCGTCTTATTAGACCTTAGGACTGAAGAACTAATGTGTTCCTAAAGAAACTGCACGCCCTGTTTTGAAGTCAAATCTTCCAGTATCTACATAGTGACTTCTATTAAGAAAGAGGGCGAAGAAAATCTAATACGACAGACCTCGAAAATGTGTTAATTTAATGTCTTCTGTTAAACGAGATGTGTTCAGAAATAAATGTGGTTCTTATCCATAAACTAGTTACATGAAAATCCTAGCAGATTATCCTGTTAATAGAACAATCTGTCTGATATTAGGAAATGTTCTCATGCAAAATGATAATACTAGATCCCATATTTTTAGTCGTGTAACAATTACAACTGAGAAACTTTGATGGATAGTCATTTCACGTACATTGTCCTGACCTAGCACCCTGTGATTTCATCTCTTCGGTCCTCTCTCTCTCAAGAATGGTCTGCATGGATAACACTTCTAGGCAACTATATGTAATTTAGAATGCAAACCACACCTACATTTTTACCAGTCTGGTTATATGAAGCTCTATGAACAATGAAGGCAATGCTTTATAATTAATGGGGCCTTAGCTATAGAATTAGCGTTTAGTTGCCTACATCCCAAAAACATTTATCGGTCCTAATGTAATATAGTTGGCCCCAAGAAAGAAAAAACTGTTTCTTGTTCATAATCATTCTTAATTGTATTCAATATTCTAGGATTTATTTTTTTAAAGTAAGGTATTTTAATATCACAGATCAATTTTATATATTTCATTGTATCTTTGTTTTCAAAGTTTTAGGACAAAGTGTTATAGGTTTTCGCCAAAATTATAATCAATAATTGTATTTTTAATAGCTCGATCACGCAATCACGTACCCAGAGTGGTTGTCAGAAGGCTCAATAACTTTTTCATATTTAATTAATATATTAAGAATTATATTCATTAATATGTACGAAGAAATAAATTCATTATTGCAAATACTTGCAATCAACTTAAATTGCAAACACAAAACTCTTGCTTTTATTTCACTTGTTTCACATTTTCATATTGGTTGCATTCTCATAATATCTTGAGATATTGAAATCTACCCTTCCATAACTTTAATTTTAAAACATTTAAGTTCATGACTACTTAGACACGTAATTTATTTTAGAATCTCATTCTTGACCACTTTGAATCAGTTTCTCAATGTGCTATCATGGTATTATCTGGTTGCAGTCTCTTGGAAAATGACCTACTCGGGGTTGTTAGCTTGGCTTTTCTATGAGAATACACAGTGTTGTCATTCTATTGATTTTGTTGCGCTTGGTGGAAGATAGGTTAACTTTAATAAGATACTCACAAATTAGTAAAATCCTCTGATCTTCTGGTATCTCGGTTTTCATTTAGCTTTAGTGATACTGAATATTACACTGTGTAGAACCTAAAGTTCAGTCAACTTGCACCGTAAAGTTATCAGTAGATGCTTTTCAAATTAACAAATTGTGTTTAATCTATACACTATAATTCAGGAAGGGAAATATTTTCATAATATTCGTAATAAGTGCACTGAAAAACAAGAATAAACAATATCAATAGATTACTAAAGCATATATCTTTCAGAATACACTAGAAGAACCAGCGTACGTCAGATACAAGTATTTTTTTAAATATATCTACACCTGTGTCGAAAAGTTCGTTTTTTTTTTAATGAAGGTAGCGCCACACAAAACAATGTCTCAAAATGCAACAAAAGTAGTTGAGTACAAAACGTTGCATCAGTTAACGAGCCACAGTAGTTTTGCAATGCTATATCAAAGCCATTCAAAGTTGTTCATACATTATATATGTATCATGCATATGAAACATATTTACGTTCAAATCTATTATACATAACAAAACTTTAAGATATTGCGATATAAACAGATTTCACCTATAACAGCAACATTTGAGATATTATTTAGGTATTTAAAGCAGCAACAACAGAAAGTTCTTTTGTCAATGAAGAACTGTATAGGTTTACTGATAAACCGAAACTGTTCAGTAAAAACAGGTACATGTACTATAGGAAGCTATCACTAGCTTCTATTTTGAAATCTCTCTCACCAGGAAGTGCTTCAAGCAGGAAGTACGTAACTTTCAGTCGAAACTATAGTTCTTAGACATTGTACGGGCTTGTTGCCCTAATGTGAACTGATGTATTTTCCAGTTACAGTTCACCACACAGGAAAGTGAAAACCTGAGTAAAACGTCTAGCTTGGAAGTTAAGCAACTTCACAGAAATAAATGTGTGTCGGGGTGAAACAAAGAAGCAAAACCATGAAATCCATCTATACACCTTGAAGCATATAAAACTCTACTAGGGACTGCAAAATGTATCTTAACTATAAAATATCTACAATGAGAGGTATTAACGTTTTAAAGTTTGCTTCATTCCCAGTAAACTAAAAACAGTTTGTTTGTAGTTGAGCACAAAGCTACACAATGGACTATCTGTGCTCTGTCCACCACGGGTATCGAAACCCAGTTTCTAACTTTGTAAACCCGCTTGGTCTGGTCTGATATTTCATTGGTGGTAGTGTCCAGGGTCACTGATGAGGAGTGGAATTCTTCGAAACTAGTCTGGCTCACAGACACACCTCCAATGAAAGAATAGTTCATTCCAAGCTTTTACTTGTAGTTAAACAAATGTATAAACAACTCTATTCAATTATTAGTAAATTCTATGTTTTTGTCTATGAAAGAAACAACGAAATATTTGTTTGATGTTTCGCGTTTATTTGGAAATACTGTAGATAAGTAGCACGTTATAGTCTCATTTAAATTGATTATCAACTTCTCTGGAGTTTAAGTTCAAATTGTTTTTTGCATAAACGTAATTTTTTTCACTGCAAGGTCTCGTAATCCAACATAAATCGAACGAAGGCGTTTCTTTTAATGTATTAGAAGTAATTTCTCTATTAAGGTTAATGGTGTCTTTGTCCTATTAGTTCTATTTTTTAACGTTACTACGAGGATGATACGTAATCGGCTGGTAAAAATAAGGATTAGGTAGAAATTTACAATTTTGAGAAACACTACCCTCTCTTTTAACGCTATCAATTAGTCCAAATGGATAAATAGTGAAGAGTTTTCTTTATATTCTAGTTCAGCTCTACTATTGTATCTGTAAATTCATAGATAGGTACATAGTCAGCCATAAGCGATTCAAAGTTCAGTTGGCATTGATCGCAGATGAACCAAAAAACATGGAATTATATTTTTAAATACAAGTCAATTGTGTTCGCGTCCTGAACATTCTTTTGATAATACCTTATCAAAATGTTCATAAAGTCACTTATGACTGCTTTATCACTAACATATAAAACTAATTTAAAATAAACATTTTAAAAAAAATGTTCCGAATCTGATTTATTATAACAGTGTTTAAACAAACTATTTTTCTTCCGAAAACGATAGAAAACCAACAGAATAGCGTATAAAATGCAAATATATCCTGCTTTTTTAACTAAGTAAATAAGTGAACCCAAATATATCCTGCTTTTTTAACTAAGTAAATAAGTGAACCCAAAAATATCCTGCTTTTTTAACTAAGTAAATAAGTGAACCCAATTTACGCCTAACAAAATCTATAAAAGTTCACCGTATAAAACTTGTCAAGGTTATTTTGTTCTTTTTCAAAGTTGTATTTGTTAATTAGCTTATTTGGCCATTTAACATAACATAATATATATTATTTCACAAAAAAACTAGCAATTTTCTAGAATTAGAATTAACTGTATGCTTGTGAAATACATTTCCGTCTTGTTTATTGTCAACATGTATTGTTAAATAATGTTGCTTAGCGACATCCAGTATTCAGCATTTAGTTTACCTTATTGCAATTTTTTAGATCTGTTTGTAAAATATTCTGATTTCTTTTAACGGGGATATTCTGTGTTCATTGCTCTATATTGCAGGAAATTTTTGACCTTCAAGAAACAAACTTGGGTTGGTTGAAAAATCTAAATTCAAAACTGATTGGTGGCTTTCATTTTTATGACGACTACCTGGCCCGCCATCTGTTGGCAATCTACTAAACTGTTGTTAAGCAAGTCGTTCACCATCACTTGACGCTTCAGCTGAATTCCAACAACGATCCCTGCCGGATGTTTGCATTTACAAACAGCCATGATACATCGTAACACGGGCTCATCCATGCTCTCCAGTATGATTGGAAGATAACGCTTGAGATTCATGAACCAATAACGTTATTTCTCGATATAACACAACATAGAGATGGCAGTAACTACTGTAACAACTAATGGATTGCCAGGGCGGAATGACCACAACAATAGACTAAGAAAATTAAGCTTACAAGCAGTATTTCCTCGACCTTCACTATCTGGTTATGCAGCTGCGATAGCAAATGCACGTGAAACTCAGCTGGCAGGATTGCGACGCCGCAGGTTCAGCCGTGTGACTCACAAGCTGTTTCCATCCATCGGCTGGCGAGCGGCAATTTCTCAGGACGAAGTTGTTAGTCAAGCCCAGAGTCTTTGTAGCCGCTATCTTCGTTCGAAACTACGCTCGTGCGGACCTGTGCACAAGAAACTCGGACTACAACGCCTGAGAAGCCTCAGTAAGATCTCCAACGACCCTGTCCTAACAGAGGTGGGAGAACACCTTCGCCACATGGCAGGCCTCTTAGAGAGACAAAATCCTCGTCTCTTTCACAGTGTCGTGGACGGTGTGGGAATTCAGTCGCTAACTTCTGAAGCAGCTGTGTTGCATCTATTTCGGACTGTAGCTGACGAAGTCTTGCGACAAGACATTTCTTGGGGCCGAATCATCGCTCTGTACTGCGTGGCCGGTGGACTAGCTTTTGACTGTGTCCGACTTGGACATCCTGAATACGTGTTAAATCTGGTTCAAGGAATGGGTTCTGTGATAAAAGGAGACGTAGCAGCCTGGATTGTTCAGCAAGGTGGTTGGGTGAGTAATAATTTACATTACCACACACAAACATTAGGTCTAACTAAAGCATTTAGATACGCCTCAATCGTTCTTCTACTGTATCATCTACTTTGTTTTTTAGTGTTTCTATGAAATAGTCTTTCGTTGTAAGTCGATTTTAGTTGTCTTACAATTTTTGTGTATGTTCTAGTAAAATCTTATAGTTGATATTCATTTTTAATTTTCAACTGTTAATTTTGTGTGCGTGTGCCTTTCTGACTCTTTTGTTCCAGCGCGATCCTAACCATTAAAGTTTTATACATTCTGAAGCATTAATGTACAAAAACGTTTTCACTAAGTAAAAGGGCCCGGCATGGCCAGGTGGTTAGGGCACTCGGCTCGCAATCTGAGGGTCGCGGGTTCGAATCCCCGTCACACCAAACATGTTCGCCCTTTCAGCCGTGGGGGCGTTATAAAGTGACGGTCAATCCCACGGTTGGTAAAAGAGTAGCTCAAGAGTTGGCGGTGGGTGGTGATGACGAGCTGCTTTCCCTCTAATCTTACACTGCTAAATTAGGGACGGCTAGCGCAGATAGCCATCGTGTAGCTTTGCGCGAAATTCAAAAACAAACAAACAAACAAATCTATTTTGTGCTTTCGTCTCAATATGCGTACAAGCTCTCAGTTTCTTTTATTAGCAGGCTGAGCGTAAAATAGTGGTTAGTGTGGCAGGCTGTGAATCTTTAAGTTCAAGGTTCGAGCTTCGACTTGTTGTTTAACACGCTCTGCACTTTCAATTGTGAGTCTTTACCTAACAATCATCCTGCTATTCTGTTAAAGGCAGTCGTGTATGTGATGGGTGTTTCTGATTGGTTGCCCTCCCTCTGGTCAGCAGGTATAAATTGGAGTGATCAGTTTCTTACTAAACACTTACTCGTTATCTTGATAACGTTTCGCTGTAAAGTCTCCGGATTTTTTTTTTTTAATTACTCAGTGAATGAAAATCACAGACCTTTGTAAAATATTCGCTGTTAAATTTTATATCTTCTACCTTAATAAAGATTAGTTTATTAACTAGTCGGAAGTTAAAAGAGCATATAATATTAATTCGATTGAAAAAGTTTTTGATTTTGGCATTTAATTGCATTAAGTTAGATTTCTATCAGCCACATTTATCTTAGTTTTCTGTAGGACAAGGAGTAACTTCGATAAACTGAAATATCTTCCGCCCCACGGTACTCAGCGGTAAGTCTGAAAGCTTAGAACGCTAAAAATCAGATTTAGATACCCGCTGTGGACAGAGCACTGATAACCCGTTGTGTAACTTTGCGCTTAACAAGAAATAAGTTTCGGTTTCTAAAGGCTTAGTAATTTTTAAGGTCCCATCACGATTATAATTAACCAAGATTTTGTCCTGTTCTTTATAAATATCTTTCAATAACATGAATATATAATGCTATATTAAGTAAGACTTGTAACTTGCAGAAATTGGTATGTGTTGTAGGGTTTCATTTAATTTATTTTCCTAAAAATGTAGTGGAATATTTTCTTTTCTCTTCTGAAAGACATTTGTGTCTGAAATAGTCTAACAATCACTGTGTGAGATACATTGGTGGCTTATAAATGTAATCCTTGTTCATGCGTATTAATATCCACAACTTATGTTCATTATTCTCGCTTATGAAAATAAGCAAGCGATATAATATTTGTAATTTAATTATTCTGAAATAAAAACAATAGCAAATATCCATAGACAAATACAGTCGACGGCAGTATTCTTATCCAAAGGTAGAGTGGGTATTAAATGGTGTGATGTAAAATGCCTAATCTGGCGAAGGAAGTAAGGTAATTAGGTTAAACGAGTATGATGAAAACCATGTTTAATTATGGATATTTTGTGTCAAATCTCTCTTAATTAGCCTATTACACGCCTCCAATTTCAAATCTGTAACGAATGATGTTAGATGTTATATTGATATGCAGGGCAATTTTATTTTATAATTATTAATGAGCTTTGTATCGAGAAGTATCATTCTTGATATGTAAGGTTAGGATCTGTAAAACAGATAATGGAAAGCGGTGAGGAGGGGAAGCATTTTAACACCAAATCACACAGAATAATATCGCTCAAATATATACATAATCAAAAGTTTTAAAATACGTTGTATAGATATATCCAAACTTTTAATATATACTGTATACATATATCCAAACTTTTAATATATACTTATACATTTATCCAAACTTTTAAGATACGTTGTACATATATATATATCCAAACTTTTAATGTCCGTTGTATACATATATCCAAACTTTTAATATATACTGTATACATATATCCAAACTTTTAGTATACACTGTATACATATATCCAAAATTTTATTATATACTATATACATATATCCAAACTGTTAAAATATACTGTGTACATATATTCAAATTGTTAATATAAACTCTATACATATATCCAAACTGTTAAAATACACTGGATACATATATCCAGACTGTTAATATATACTGTATACATATATCCAAACTTTTAGTATACACTGTATACATATATCTAAACTTTTAGTATACACTGTATACATATATCCAAACTTTTATTATATACTATATACATATATCCAAACTGTTAATTTACACTGTATACATATACCAAAACTGTTAATTTACACTGTATACATATATCCAAACTGTTAATTTACACTGTATACATATATCCAAACTTTTATTATATACTATATACATATATCCAAACTGTTAATTTACACTGTATACATATACCAAAACTGTTAATTTACACTGTATACAAATATCCAAACTGTTAATTTACATTGTATACGTATATCCAAACTGTTAATTTACACTGTATACGTATATCCAAACTGTTAATTTACACTGTATACATATATCCAAACTGTTAATTTACACTGTATACATATATCCAAACTGTTAATTTACACTGTATACATATATCCAAACTGTTAACTTACACTGTATACGTATATCCAAACTGTTAATTTACACTGTATACATATATCCAAACTGTTAATTTACACTGTATACATATATCCAAACTGTTAATTTACACTGTATACATATATCCAAACTGTTAATTTACACTGTATACATATATCCAAACTGTTAACTTACACTGTATACATACTCCAAAAAATTATTAAAACTCTTCCTTTTCGCTACTGTTATCCATCTGGTATGTTGTTTCTCTGTATAATGAAAGTTTACTTAGTACTAGTTGCAAGTTAAAACATTTCGGTCCAAGAGTAATAAACTTCACAGTTTCTCATGATGAAAAAAAGCAAGTCAAAAGTGTCCCCAAGAGAGATATTAACGTACAGCTGACTCTATGTTTCTGTTTATTAGCCGCGACTTAGCAGCTCATAGAACGGCTCTGAGTTTGTTTTCGTTGTTGATGGTTTTATTTTTTTCAAGTACAAACTTTTCGCTTATAGATCCGTCATCTCTTGCCCGATTTGAGATCTAATTACAGTTTTGGAGACAGGAGGTTGATGTATTTGACCATTCCCAAGGTTTCATAGATTAATTAACTCCTAAAATAATTTCAATTTGAAGGTAGGCTGGTAGAGATCCTGATGATAATAAAATCGAATCGAGTATACGCGCACCCCACGCTTTGATATTGCTGGCTCAAGATATATATATATATAGCTAATAAAATAAAGGAAAAAAAAGTCTTGTAGATTAATTTACTGTAATCCTGCCTAAAAGAATTTCAACTGCGGCGGCTATTGAGGATTCCCTCTTGTTTTTATAAAGCACAGACATTATTCAGGATCATTTAAGGAAAATCAAGTTAACTTCAATCATGATTAAGGTGTAGAGGTAATTCCAAAATCCCTAATAGTTTTTCAAGTGCGAAAGTCTAGCTAAACGTTCTGTGTTTGGTTTTTGATTAGTTTGTTTCAAAATGTTTACGCAAAACTGTAGAAAAGGGCTAACTATCTGCGCAAATCTACCCATAATTTTGAACTGATACACTGAAGGGAAGTTTGTTTGTAATTAAGTACAAAGCTACACAGTGGGCTATCTGTGCTCTGCCCACCACG